TAAAATTACTGTACATGATTTGGAATTCAAATTTTGGGAAGATTGCTTTGGAAAATCAGGATTTTTTAACAAAATTTTGATTTTTTATTTCAATTTTAGCTTTATATTAAAATGTAATTATCAAAAAAAAAAACTCTCTGAGCGTGCGATCTTCCCATTTAAAAAAAATTGTTTATATATCAATCATATGGAATCTTATGGCTTTTTATTCTTTATCCATCGGTCCGGTAATCCATTTTTAAATTTTTTTAAAAAATTACCAACCTCCACCGATGATACAGTACAGTTGCAGATTATTGAGACACAAATAATGTTTGATGTTGTTTTTTCCTTCTTTATTATATCTTTGTAAAAACTTATCTAACCTTTTTTTATCTCCATGCTTAAAAACAAATGTAGGGATAATGAAGCAAAAGTGGAAAAAACGTGTGATCAATCATCGATGCGCAGATTAGCATGTTGATAATTCCTATTATGAATTTCCGAAAGAACGAAATCGGATTATCTTTATCGGGGGTGGTGGCTAAAAGCCGTGTTCGATCACGATTTTTTTTGGCCAGAATTACGGCATTAAGTGATAGTCCCGGTGTAAAATAACGTGCAGTTAATGAATCACACACCGAAAAAATTCTGTCCCCAGAATATACTTAATAAAATTAAATTAAAATGAAAAAACAGAGGTGTGACATGGCGTGACAAATACTTTTGTGAGTCTCGTGATCGACACGACTTTATCGGAAAGAAATCAATTTGCCATTAAATATATAAACGGACGTTTGACGGATGATAAATTCCGGAATACATAGGATTTCAAGCTGGGGATATTTTCGTAAAACATATAAGAACCTTTTGATAAATTGATTGATTCTTTAAGTCATTTTAATTTAAAATTAATATTTTCATTATATCAGCCACATATATGATCATGTTTGTTCGAAAGAAAACATACCATAAACTAAAGCGTAATTGTCAAAAAAATAGTGAGATTTTTCAAACTGAAATAAATAATCTTCGAAAGGAAATTGAAAATTCTCAAAAGCAAATAATACATCTGCATGAGAATCTGCATAAGAATTTTCAAACAGGAATAAAATTAAATAGCAACCTTGCTGATGCAATAGAAGAACTGGTTACTATCAAGTCAAAAGACCTTAGTAATTTAGAAACAAAATTGGTCGCAATCAAGATGAATCAAGGTAATGTTGATCATGGAAATATAGAAATAATTGAAGATTCAAATCATAACGAGTAGCATCATTCGAAATTACTGAACAAGTTGAATACTTTGTTAATTTTTACTTAATGCAAATGACAATGAGAAAGTATATTAGTGAAATGTCATATCATTTTTGATAATTTGAATCATCAATTTGTCAAAGTGTCGTCAAACGAAGAAAAGACTTCATATATTTGTTTAATAAAGCATTTTCTCATTTTCTATTTAAATGAAAATCAGCGTGACATGCATATCGTCGACCTAGAATCTGAATATCTACATACCAGTTTTAGTTGCAAAGTTGTACTGCGCCTCAAGTGACGCGATAGTCATGAAAGTAATACATATCAACTTCATATTTATCCCTTTCATTATTTATTTAGTTTATATTATTTTCATTATTTGTATTATTTATTATTATAATTTAGTATACGTCCAGAAATTTATACAAATAGTGCAAGTTGACCTTGAGTCGACAGAGTTTCTGAATAAGTCTTGGGATTAGACTTATATCCCTGCAGTTTTAATAAAATTTTATACATATAAGGATTTGATAGTGAATAACTAACTACACAAGTAAAATAAAAGACTATATAATTAAAAAATATATATTATTACAATATATTAGATATTGTAATGATAAAAATATAAGATATAATCAGTTGAATTTTGATTAACAGGTAAGTCATTGGTGAAGTATCTGTTAAATCGTGATTGATAATTCTATATTCATCCTATAATTGTATGTTATTGTTCGGGCGTGCTTAATAATGGTCTGATGTGGCACGCAGTGCCATATCAGAATGTTATTAAGTGCGCCTGAACAATATTATTCGGATCACCTGATTATCATGTGATCAAATTAAACTTCCTTTAAAAGCCACACGTTTCTATTGTTCCTCTTTTTTTTCACATTTTTTTTCGAAGAAAATTACTTAAGAAAAAAGTTGAAAGCCGTTATTTTTATATAGTTTTCTTTTTCCTAAAATAGGATTCTAACCTCCTAAATAATGCCAAATGAAAGTAAAAAGCGCGCACAAACGTCAAATGTAATATTAAAAATAAAAATTATTATTGTTGAAATGTATTTATGAATTATTAAATAATACATTTCTATAAATATATTTTTTTTTAATAGATCAATGAGTCCAATAGCGTTGAATTTTTCAAATCATTTGGACAAGTAAAAAGTACAACTAGTGCTACAAAAATTGGATCAATAGACTGGAAGAATTTAGAAAGGGAAAGGGAAAGTTTGCAAAAGAGAAAATTGAACAAATAGATTCAATACAAGAACTTGATAATCAACTTGCAACTTATGTTGCAGTAATGAAACAAAAAAATGGACAACAATATTCTGCAAGTTCTGTTCACTGTGCAATTGCTGCTATACATCAACATCTTATTAAACATTCTGTAATATCTGGAATAAACATTCATGATCAAGTAACATTTTTAATATTTGGGCTTAATGGAAAATTGAAGTTTCTTTCTGATTTAGGACTTAATGATACAAAGGATGTTGATGCATTATTTATAGATGAAATTTTACAATTTTTAATCATAAAATATTGGATTGTACTATACCAGTATGATTATTATATTGAATTTACTTTTATAATGCATTTTTATTAGGTATTAGAGGTAAAGAGCATTTTGCACTTCATTTGAAAGATTTTAAAAAAAGAGAAGATTGTGGATTTACAGTATATATCTATTGCAGTAAAATTAATCAAAGAGGTGCATTTGGAAATAGCGAAAAGGCAGATAAAGTACTTATATCTTACAATGAAGAAATTATTCAATATTATAATAAATATATTTCATTGCGTTCAAAAAATACAAATCTAGAATTTTATTTATAAGAAATGGAAGATGAAGATAGTAAGTAATGATTTTATTATTAAGTTTTTAATTTTTTTTTAAAAAACTAACTAATTTATAATATAAGCTTTTTAATCTAGTATATAGTTTAAAAGGCATCATATTACTCTTAATTGTCTTAAATCACTTATGAAAACTATTTGTATCAATGTGGATCTTAATATTAAAAATAGAAAAATTATTCCTCATATTGGTAAAAAAACTATGATATAGGCTTTAGAAAGTCTTGGTGAATCTACTTTTAATATTAAAAATAATCACGTTATAGAAGTGATGAAAGTTTGCATCTATATTTATCAATAGATGAAAAAGATCAATTACATATGATGAAAAATTTAGCTGAAAAAATAATTGAAAGTAGTAAAAATCAAAAACATAAAAATACAATTTTTTTTACTTTATTATTTTATTATATTTTAAGTTATTCTAACATTTTTTTTTTTTCTTTTTCTATATTAGCACTTCAGAAAATAACAGCTAATTCTAGTAATAATACATTTAAATGGGTATCACAAGATATACTTTAAATAATAATATTTGTAATTATTAACAATTGTACTGTTATACTAATTTTATTTTAATGTATAAAAATTTGAAAAAAAAAGGAAGTTGAAACTTCTGAAAATGCTACAAAAAATTCAATTCAACTTACAATTTTTTAAGACCAATTTGCAAAAATAATTCAAAGCGACATATTAATAAATTTTGAATTAAATATTAAATTAGTATAATTTATATTTTATTTAGCATAATTATAAGTATGTATTTAAACTTATATTTAATATAACGATATAATAAAATTATTAGCATATTATATTGAGCACATTATATAAAATATTGGTATAGTATGCATATGATAATCTTATAGAGCTGTGTAATAATTAATAATATTAAGATACCCTTTTAGATAAAACAAAAATTTCAGTTAAATCTTTCTCGCTAAATTGATGTTATAAAATATTTTATTTAAACTTATGAACTTGTTACAAAAGCAAATAAAAAGATTTTTTCACCAGTCATTAATAGATTGAATGGATATTAACTTTAAAAAGCATTAAATAAATAAATTATTATATTAACTAAAGTATTATTTATAAATATTAAATTATTTATGATTTTATATATATTAATTTTTTTTTATTTTAATCAATTTAAAAATATTTTTTTGGATGTTTCCTATTAACTTTAAAAATCTTCTAAATCTTCATATAAATCATCACTTGATAGATTATATGTGTCAATATTCAATATTTATTAATATAACTGTTAGATTAAAGAAAATAGTATACTAAATATTTAAGTCAATTGTATCATATATAAATAAGTACAATCTTGAATTTATATTACTTTAGCAAATTAACACTTTACAAATATTATAATATTTAATAATTAGTGAAATAGATAATCGTATAAATAATATAATATCACAATTAATATTTAAAGAATTTTTTAATAAATTACGATTATATAATTACTATTAGGTTAATAAATTGATGATAGTAGCCTTTTAATATATATTTTAAATAATAAGTAGAAAGACAATCAAGATAGATAAATTTTAAAATTATTATATATTAATTATTTATTATTTTACTAATATAACGAAATTATAAATAGAAAATTTTAGTAATAGGATTTAGCATACTCTAATTGTTTTGAAATTAAACTTGGATCAATATAGAATAGAAAAAAATTGAAAATGTTGGATTTATTTCTACTAACCTTAAAGATAATAGATTTTTAGAAAGTATTATACATGTATACTCTTCTTATTTTTTGCTAGATTAAGCTTTATTAAAAATAAAGGTTAATTATTATCAAATTGTTTTATATTCTATAACAGAATCTAATGGAATTATCAAAATATAAAATTATGTATTGGTGAAGCAGTTGAAATAACACTAGTGACGAATAGATAATTTGTATTTAGAATTTTTAAAGAGATAATAGAATATATATAGAATGATAATCAAGTTTATATTTTTATTTATTTAGACTAGTTAGAGAATCTTAAAAAATGTGATAATTTATTAGGCTATCCTATTTATCGTCTTCAATATATATACAATAATTCCTAAAATCTAATTCATCCAATTTCTATTGTATCTAAGTCACTAAATATTTTATTTATCTATTATTATAAGATAAGATATTCTTCACAATAACATTATACTACAAATTATAAATATATATAAAATGATTTCTTCTTTATAGCAATCTAAAAAATTTGTATCGTGATAAGTTACTGATTTTTGTTTAAATTAGGATTGTTTGAACATTAAGTTAATCTTTAAATCAAATTTAATGAATTTACTTTAATTGTGTTATATTTGATTTATTTAGATAAGTATTGATTATATTTTAAGTTTTAAAGATTTTATTTTAATTTTTGCAATATTTAGATTTTTAAGTTTTTTAATTTTTTTAGGTGTGTATTTATGATATTTTAAAAAATAATTAATATAATCTTAATGTTTATTATATAGATTTTTAAATAGAAGTCATTTGTTTTTAATGGTATATTAAAAAAATTAAGATTCCATTTCAATTTTTATCACACTTGGTTTTTTTTAGGTAGGCATCACTTATTTTTAATAACATTATTAAAAAAATCAAGATTCTATTTTAATTTTTATCATACTTGAATTTTTTAGATAGGCATCATTTGTTTTTAATAGTATTATTAAAAATTAATCAAAGCTTTCATTTTAATTTTTGTTATACTTAGTTTTTTTAGGTATAGATTGCTTAATCCCAATAAAATTATTAGTTTTAATACTTAAGATTTACTGCAACCTTACATTACTTTTTGTTATACTAATATTAGAGTATTATAGTAAATGAAATGTATTTAAATTACAAAAAATTAGCTTTAATTATTCAAATTTATTTTAAAATAAAAAGTCTTTTATATCTATTAAAAATGATATAAAATTACTAAAATAAACCAATTTTTAGAAAAATTAAGCAATTAGAAATTTCATTATCAGTGATATTAAGTGGCTTAATTTTAGTAATAAATTAAGAAAAATAATTGCCAATTTTAACCTAATTAGATTTTAAGAAAATTAGCTAAGTATGTTTAAATTTATAATTATAATTATTATCTTATGAAACGTAAAATAAATTTATTAATTTTTTATCTTCAAGTAATTTCTAATTTATTTTGATCTTCAGAATGAAGATATAGATTATTACATATATCTTTATTATCTAAATAACCTTTTTATTTATTCAGCTTTCCAACTTCATTATTTGAATAATTTACAATTACGAAAATAAAATATAATAAAGATTAAGAATTTAGAAATTCTAATTTAATATATAATTAAAATTTTATATAATACCTTAGGATTTAGAAATTATTAACAATTTTTGCCATTTTCTCAGAACATATGGGAGGCAGTAAATAGAAAAGAGAGAAATCTACAAATTTTAAGTAATTTAGTTATTAAGCTAGTTTTATTCACATGATCATAATCAGCAAAGTGAATCAATAAAAATAATTTTGACTAAAATGTGAATTTTTCTTTTTTCTAGCTAATACAGTCAACTCTTGTTATAACGAACTCTATGTCCTAAACCTCAACTTTGCTATAAGCTATAGTGAAGATTTTAAGAGATTTGATTGGCCAATTCACTATAACAAGAGTATTTTTATTATATTTGTTTAAAAAATTCGTTATATTAAGAGTTCACTATATCAAGAGTTGACTGTAATCATTTTGCCAAACATTTTACTAATACTTGGATTAACAACTATTATTTTACTGATATGATTATTTTACTAACAGTTATTTTATCAAAAAAGTATAAAAATTTTATTATTTGTTAGTGAAATAACCTATCAGTGTAATAACTATATCAGTAAAATATCTATGTCAGTAAAATGATAGTTGTTAATCTAAGTATTGGTCAAATATATCTGTTAACCAAATTATTATCAATTAAAATTAAATGATTGTTAGTAAGTTGAATGTAATCCAGATAGATTATATAAAATCAAAATAAATATTTAATTAAATAATTAAATCAAAATTATAAATTAAAGTAAATAATATAATACTTATAAATTGAAAAAATAATAATATTAATTATTACTTTTAAATATTATTAAATAAGCAATAATAAGGTAGCTTTATTAAAAAATAAATTAATAAAATTTGAAATTGAGCTTTAAGAGTAACTTTCCTAAGAAATTATTAGTAAAATATAATTATTTTTAATATTTTTACAAAAATTATTAATAAAATTATATAACAAATAATTTTAATTAAAAAAATATATTAATAACATACAATAATCATATAGAATGACAGTTATTTCTTAGAAAGACCTATTGACTTGAAACAAAATATAAATATTAATTGCAAATGCTATAGAAATTTGTATGCATTTTGAAAAATAGATCAATATTAAAATTACGAATTATGTTTTTTTCTACAAAATATTAATTTAATTTTATTATTCTGGTTATATTAAACTGAAATTAAAATGGTTAAAATAATTATGATAATCAAAATGATCAAATTGATTTTGACTATTTATTAAAAAATTTGAAAAATCGAAATTAATTATGATAGTCAAAATCAATTATAATAATTAAAATCAATTACTATAGTCAAATCAATTATGATAATCAAAATCAATTACAATAGTTAAAATTAATTATGATAGTCAAAATCAATTATAATATTCAAAAAGTTGTTAATTATTATTTATTTATTAATTTAAATTATTTAATTTTAAATTTCATTTAAAAATGATTTTTTTAAATAATAAACTATAGAAAACCTATGCTTTAATACATTTAAGTTAAAATGTTTTAAAAGAGCAGATCTTAATAAAATTATAAAACCATATTTAACTTTTACTATAATACCTATTTAACTTAAAACTAAATTTTCTCCTTCAAAATCTTCAAATACTACTATTATATAAAAAGCATATTTACAATCATTATTATCTTTATGAGAATCTGTAACTTCTTATCTTATTGAATTTAATTTATCATTTTCTTCAGTTATACTTAAATTTATAGAAAAATTTTTAAAAAATAATAAATTTGTTTTAATATCTAAAAAATTGATATTAAAATTATTATATAATTCAGGAAAATTAATTTTAATTAAATTTTTAATTAAAAATTCTAAATTAATAATTAATAGAAATAATGTATTTAAATAAAGATAAAATTCAAATATTTTTTCAGATTTTAATACATGTTGAAAATGTTTGTCTTATATCTACTATCATATTAAATTTGATATTATCTTTAAAAAAATTATATAGATCTTTACTTT